AAAAAAAACACATCATTGTAAAATTAATACATTCCTCGCTCTTCTCAAAATCTAAAACGTTATCTTTAAATTTTCAGTTAGTATTCTGAATAATGTTATAAAATTATAATTTCCAAGAATTAAGACTAGCTAAAGATAAAAGTAATTTTAAATTTTAATTAAAGGTAGTAAATTAATAATTTATCTTTTGATAAATAATGAAGCTAAAAGTTTTACGATCTTCCATTTCTAGGTAAACAGGTAAACTAAAGTTGTATTGTAAAATTCATAGTAAATTWAAAACATTATTATTAATACGCTGTTACCTATTCCTATCATAACAACGGGTTTTTTTATCAATGACAACAGATAATATTATGTACATCACTATTTGTAATAGTTTATATAAGATTAGAATACTGTAAAATCAAATTCATCATAAAATGTGAAATATTATTGAGAAAAAAATTATTTCCTCAAAATTTATAAAATATTATATGTTATTTTTCAATAATTAATCAAGATAAATTAAGAACCATGAAACACTTTAAAATTTTACAATAATTATAAGAATATAAAATACATTTATTTTAAGTTATTAATGTATTAAAATTATTTTATAATTTCACATGGAATAATATATTATCTAATATTTAATTATTTTAATCCATTAATAATCTTTGCAATCAAAGAAAAACAAACAATATTTCAATAAAATAAGTAAGTAGTGTTAAAGAACATACATTAAAAATATAAGTATTTTAGGCAATATTTAAAAAATGCATAAACCCAATAGCCTATGTCGCCGAGGGTATACATGTTAAAAAAGATGGTTTATTTTTTAAGAGCATTAAATAATAATTAATTCAACTTCAATATTTAAATGGCATAACTTAACTTAAAATTTATATAATTAGTAAAAAAGAAAGTTTATGCACAGAGAAAAATAAAATTGCATAATATAATTAAAATAATACTATAATTATTATTTCTATTGAAAAAAACTGAAGATATATATTAAAAATTAAACTATTACATAAATTCTTGAGGGCGAAAAATTAGATTTTTTTCTAATTTAATATTTATTGTACAACAAAAAAATATTTTTTAAATTTTAAAAATGTTTTATACACTTTAAAAATATGAAAAGGTAATTTATGTAATAAAATCAAGTATCCACCCTCACATAAAAATATTGTAAAAGTATTTAAAATTTTTTTAAATTATATTTTAATTGAAAAAAAAATAAGTAAAAAACTATAGATTATGTTTTAAATAATACGAGTATATTAACACTATTGTTAAGCAAACTATTGCGAGTAATTATTAATCCAAATAATGTATTATTTTTTTAGCTTTATATAATGTTATAAGGTTTGTCAAAATTCACTTAAAAAATGTATAACATAATTCACACAAACAAAGAAAATTATGTATGGRTGTATGGAGTAGGTGTCTGTTTTAGCATCTCGCTAAAAATAGTACGTAMATTCATGATGCATTGAAAGATGGGTTTTTCCATTAATTTTATAATACCACAAACTTATTGGAATGACAAGTTGAAACGTTACATAAGCGATATAGTCCTATCACTAAAGTTATACATTTATATGAATCTAAGAATAAAAATTTTAGCTTTTGTGTTAAAAATAAATTCCAAAATTTAGCATTTAAACTTAAGTTGTAATATTAAYGGCSTTTCGACGAAGTTCATCACAAGACCAATCAAATAATTTGATACACACAAATAATAAACTGATCTAAACTAAAATTTTGAATAACTCTTGTTTGATAAATAACATACAATAGCAATAATATAGGTACACAATATTATAATATTGTAGGTAGGACACATTGCATGCATGTTGCCATCTGTTGAGCTCGGTCATCGATCGCCGTTTTACAACMACGCGTGCCTCTATGTGGTCGCTCGCGAGCTTACACCTTTTTAATGTGCATGCTTACGCCACCAAAGACATGACCCAATTTTAACCCTACAATCTCGAGTAACAGTGGAACACATATATAATAAAGAGATAATTGCTTCAGAGAGCATCATAAGATTAAAACTAAAAATTTCATAACTTAAATTCCACAATTATATGATCTTCAGTACATTACGATAAAATTCGTGGATGTCGCTCTAGTAAAGTAGGTTTTAAGTGTGTTACTGTAATGAATGGAATTCAATTTGAATCCAATGATATYATATAATTGTAAACGAAAAACGATTCTAAGCGGAGACGGTTTATCTGTTTAGGATATATTATAGATTATTAAAAATTTTCAAATCTTAGATTTAAAAAGAAATTTTTTTATGAATTTCTAGCTTAAAATAATTTGCGAATTTTTGTAATTTTTCAAATGCTATTGTAACAATTTGTTAGGAGCCTTATATTAAATTTTCAT